AAAAGGGGGAAAATCCCCAAAAATTCCCAAAAAAAATCCCAAAAATTCCCATAAAAAATTCCCCAAAAAAATTCCCAAAAAAATTCCCAAAAAATTTCCCAAAAAAATTCCCAAAAAAATTCCCAAAAAAAAATTCCCCCAAAAAATTCCCAAAAAAATTCCCCCCAAAAAAATTCCCCAAAAAAATTCCCATAAAAAATTCCCATAAAAAATTCCCATAAAAAATTCCCAAAAAAATTCCCATAAAAAATTCCCATAAAAAAATCCCCACCTTTCGCCTCCCTTTGGATTTGTCGTTCCTGCTGCTCTTCCTCTTCCTCCTCTCGGCCTCCTCTTCCTCCTGCCGGGGCATTCCCGGGAATTCCGGGCTTTTCTGGGATTTTGGGGCAATTTCCTGGGATTTTGGGGTTTTTTTACAGAAATTTTGGGGTTTTTTTAAAGAAATTTTGGATTTTTCCTGGGAATTTTGGGATTTTTTCCAAGGATTTTGGGGATTTTTGGAAAAAAAAAGGGATTTTTACAGAAATTTTGAGGGTTTTTTTAAAGGGTTTTGGATTTTTCCTGGGATTTTGGGTTTTATTCCAGGAATTCTGGGATTTTTTTAAAGAAATTTTGGATTTTTCCTGGGAATTTTGGGATTTTTTCCAGGGATTTTTCCAGTGATTTGGGGTTTTTTTCTGAGGTTTTGAGTTTTTTTCCAAGGAATTTTGGGGTTTTTTTAAAGAGATTTTTGGGTTTTTCCCCAAGATTTTGGGATTTTTGCAGAAATTTTGCATTTTTTCCCAGTGATTTTGGGTTTTTTCCCAGGGATTTTAGAGTTTTTTAAAATAAATTTTAGGATTTTTGCAGAAATTTTGATTTTTTTCCCAGAGATTTGGGTTTTTCCCCCAGGAATTTGGGGATTTTCCCCCCTCAGGTGACCCCACCTTGGCAATTTTCCCCTTGGACGTTTTTTTTTCCTTTTCTTCCTCTTCCTCCTCCTCTTCCTCGCTCTGCTCCTGGCTCAGAGCAGCGAAAACGTTCCCACCCTGAGGGAAAAAATGGGAAAAATCCCAAATTATTCCCTTTTCTCCCCAAAATTCCCCATTTTCACTGAATTCCCCTCGTTTTTGGGAGCATTTCCCTTCCAAAATCCCATTTTTTTCAGCAAATTTTCCTCATTTTTTGCCTTTTTCCCACATTTTTTGTGGCAAATTTCTCCTCTTTTTTTTTTCACCTTTTTCCACTTTTTTAAGGCAAATTTTCCCCCTCAATTTTTCTGATTTTTTCCCACTTTTTAGGATAAATTTTCCCTCATTTTTTCCTTTTTTCCCCATTTTTTTTTTACAAATTTCTCCCTCACTTTTTTTACCTATTTCCAGCTTTTTTTGAGCAAATTTCTCCCTCATTTTTTTCCCCTTTTTCTCACTTTTTTAGGGGAAATTTTCCTAACGTTTTCTGGCATTTTCCCATTTTCTTTTTTTCATTAAATTTCTCCCTCATTTTTTTCCTCATTTTCCAACTTTTTTGAGCAAGTTTTCCCCCAAATTTTTTCCCTTTCTCCCCTTTTTTTGGGGCAGATTTTCCACTCCTTTTTTCCCTTTTTCCCCCTTTTTTTGTGGCAATTTCCCCTCATTTTTTCCCCTTTTCCCCCTTTTTTTTGGGGCAGAATCCCCCTTTTTCCCCCCTCACCTTCCTCCTCCTCCCTCCTTTCCGCGCCGCTGGAGCTGTGGGTCAGATTTTGGGGGTCACCGAGGGGTTAAACCCCCCCAGGACCCCCCAAATTCCCATCCCGGACCTTCCTCCTCCTCCTCCTCCTCCTCCTCGGCCGCGGCCGCCAGGGCCTGGAGCCGCCGGCTCGGCTCCTCCTCCTCGGGCTCAGGCTCCGCCCCCCGCCCTCGCCGCGGCTCCTTCCGGCGCTCCCGCTTCCGCCGGGACCCCTGGGGGGGTTCGACACCTTTAATTAGCGCTAATTAACCCTTAATT